CTGAGGCATTACTTGGTGGTGAATGCGTGTGTAGATTTCCTATACTGAGACAGAGGCTTACATGGGCAACGGAAGGAAGTTGCTGCTGGGCCACCAGCAAGGCCAGCATGAGAACCACCAGTGCTGTCCTTAATTGATGCCAAGGATTGTCCAACGTGTTAGCATTAATTCTCATACTAATACAGCAAGGAAGATATTATTAGCCTAATTTTATTGATGAGGAAATGAAAATCAGAAAGCTTAACTATAAGACCCATCAGGTCTTATAACAAGGCACATTTTTGAAAACAGATCTTTCTGATGTCAAAGTTCACGTTCTGTCCACTGCCCAATGCATAGAGTTGCAGAATTTAGAATTTAAAGGGACTTTAGAATTCACAACTTCTCTGTGCCCAAGATCACAAAGTTTGTGGCAACCTTGGAAATAGAATCTTCATCTCTTATTTTTTGTTTGTTTTTGTTCTTTAGGGGTTTTTTTTGTTTTGTTTTTGTTTTTGTTTTTGTTTTTGAGACGGAGTCTCGCTCTCTTGCCCGGGCTGGAGTGCAGTGGCCAGATCTCAGCTCACTATAAGCTCTGCCTCCCGGGTGCACACCATTCTCCTGCCTCAGCCTCCCGAGTAGCTGGGACTACAGGCGCCCGCCACCACGCCCGGCTAGTTTTTTTGTATTTTTTAGTGGAGACGGGGTTTCACCATGTTAGCCAGGATGGTCTCGATTTCCTGACCTCGTGATCCGCCCGTCTCGGCCTCCCAAAGTGCTGGGATTACAGGCTTGCGCCACCATGTCCGGCCTTTTTTGTTTTTTTTGAGACAGTCTCACTGTGTTGCCCAGGCTGGAGTGCAGTGGTGCAATCTTGGCTCGTTGCAACCTCCACCTTCTGGGTTTGAGTGATTCTACCTCACCCTCCCGAGTAGCTGGGATTACAGGTGTGTGCCACCATGCCTGGCTAATTTTTGTATTTTTAGTAGAGACAAAGTTTCACTACATTGGCCAGGCTGGTCTGGAACTCCTGTCCTCAAGTGATCTGCCCACCTTGGCCTCCCAAAGTGCTGGGATTATAGGCATGAGCCACTGAAACTGGCCAAGAATCTTCTACCTCTGATTCACATGCAGGCATACCCTGTTTCATTGCACTTTGTCTTACTGTGCTTTACAGATACTGTGTTTTTTAACAAATTGGAGATTTGTGGCAACCCTGCAATAAGCAAGCCTACTGGCACCATTTTTTCCAACAACATGAGCTCACTACATGTCTCTGTGTCACATTTTGGTAATTCTCACAACACTTCAAACTTTTCATTATTATTATATGTTATGGTGATCTGTGATCAGTGATCTTTTATGTCACTGTGTTACTATCGTAATTGTTTTGGACCACTGCAAATCTTGCCCGTATAAAATGGTGAACTTAATCGATAAATATGGTGTGTGTTCTGACTGCTCCACCGACTGGCAGTTTTCCTACCTATCTTTCTCTCTTTGGGCCTCCCTATTTCCTGAAACACAAAAATATTGAAATTTGGCTAATTACTAGCCATATAGTAGCCTCTAAGTGTTCAAGTGAAAGGAAATGTTGTGTGTCTCTCACTTGAAATCAAAAGCTAGAAATGATTAAGCTTAGTGAGGAAGGCATGTTGAAAACCAAGATAAACCAAAAGCTAGGCCTTTTGTGCCAGTTAGCCAGGTCACCAATGCAAAGGAAAAGTTCTTGAAGAAAATTCAAAATTATTCTCTAGTGAACACATGAGTGATAAGAAAGCAAGACATCCTTATCACTGATATGGACAAAGTTTTAATGGTCTGGATAGAAGATCAGACCAGCCAACATTTCCTTAAACCAAAGCCTAATCCAGAGCGACGTCCTAACTCTTTAATTCTGCAAAGGCTGAGAGAGGTAAGAAAACTGCAGAAGAAGAGTTAGAAGTCAGCAGAGGTTGGTTCATGAGGTTTTAAGGAAAGAAGCCATCTCCATAACATAAACATGCAAGGTGAAGCAACAAGTGCAGATATAGAAGCTGCAGGAAGTTATCCAGAAGATCTAGGTAAGATCATTAATAAAAGTGGCTTCACTTGCCAACATATTTTCAATGTACACAAAATAGCCTTAGATTGGAAGTGGATGACAAGTAGGACTGTCATAGCTACAGAGAAGTCAATGCCTGGCTTCAAGGCTTCAAAGGACAAGCTGACTTTCTTGTTAGGGGCTAACATAGCTGGTGACTTTAAGTTGAAGCAAAGCTTATTTACCATTCTGAAAATTTTAGGGCTGTTAAGAATTATACTAAATCTACTCTGCCTGTGCTCTATAAATGGAACAACAAAACCTGGATGATGGCACATCTGTTTACAGCATGGTTTACTGAATATTTGAAGCCCACTATTGAGTACTACTGCTCAGAAATAAAGATTCTTTTCAAAATATTACTGTTTATTGACAATGCACCTGGTCACCCAAGAGCTCTGATGGAAAAGTCCAAGGAGATGAATGTTGTTTTCATCTGTGATAATACAGCATCCATTCTGCAGCCCATGGATCAAGGAAAAATTTTGACTCTCAAGCCTTATTAGTTAAGAAATATATTTCATAAGGCTATAGCTGCCATATATAGTGATTCCTCTGATGGATCTAGGCAAAGTAAATTGAAAACCTATGGAAAAGATTTTAGGAACTCTTGCAAAGTGCTCTGGGGATAGCATAGTGAAAAATGGAGTCAAAGACACTGCCCGCATGAAGCCAATAGTCTAGTAGGGAGCATCCTCATTAGATACGTAATTACATGGCCAATTAATTCATCATAATTATGTTAAATGCAATGAAGGAACAAGGTAGGGTCTAGGAGCACAAACAGCGGAAAGGCCTGGACTCCCTAGAGGAAGCTGCATTTCATCTGAGACCCGAGAGACAGCATGAGTTAGCTGGTGACTGGACTCAGACAAAGGAAGTCCCATGTTCCAAGGCTGTGAGCCTGCCAGTTGCAATATAGCAAAGGATTTGGAGGAGGGCCTGAGAGGGTGTGAGGAGCTTGACTGGACAGCCTCAACCACATAGACGTCCACCACAGAATTATTTACAAGAGTGAAAAACTAAAAGGATGAAACAAAACCAGATTCCTAAATGTCAAAAATAAAGAATTGGTTAAATAAATTATGGTGCATCCATTCAAAAGAATGAAGAAATCCTACAAAACCTCCTGTATCATAGAAGACTATCTCATGATAAAGAAAGAGATGCATTACACAGTATATTGTTTCATGAACAAAAGTTACAAAACTGTATACACTGTGTAATCCTATTTTTATTCAAGAAGAATAGTATGTACAAGCACAGAAACACCTGGGAGCAGAGAAGCCAACATGCTGACAGTGGTTACTTCTGGGTGGTGGGATAACACTTATCTCTTGCTTATCTACACTTTTACGATGACCTTACACACACACTGCCTATGGTGCTTTTGCAACAAGAATCTTTTTCTAAAAGGTGTGCTATATTGGCAGTTTGATGTAGGGTTGGAGCTCAGGGGCCCTTGGGTTGGGCAGATGGGTTTGGCTCTACCTATCATAACCCTGAAACTCTGCATACATTTTTGTGAGCCTGACTTGCCTATCTGCAAATGCATGGTGGTTGCCATGAGGATTAAATGAAATAATCCCTAGAAAGTCTGTGCCTAGCACAGAGTCTGCCCCATCAGTAATAGCTCCACAATGTTAACCAGTAATATTGAAAAGAAATATAACCATTGTTTACAGACGTTTACCTGAGAAGTGATTCTTCTGGCTACTCAGTTTTGTATTTAGGACCATGTCAGAAGAAGACAGCCACACTCTACAGTTGCAGTTACTCACGTTGAACCCATATGGACAGCAAAGAGGGGTGAGGACGAGGGCCCGGAAGCAGGCTGGGACTAAGCAGAAGGGTTCCTAGGGCGAATCATGAGACAGACAGATTCCCTCCATGGCCCACACCTTATTCCCCTCCCTCCCCTCTCTCGCCCTCCCACCCTTTTCTCTCACCTTCCTCCCACCACTTCCTTGCTATTTTAGACTCTGAACTGTAAATTCCTTTGAGGGCAGAGGTTATGCATTAGACAGCTGTCCATCAGTTCCCTCACATGAAGCATCTGTTACTGAACCTGGTTTACAGCTACCCTCTTGGCTGTTATAAGCAGAGGGACCTATTGGAGACTTCCCCACTGGGTGGGGCATTAGAGGACAGTGCTAGTGATGGGAATGAAAGGGAAATGCAGGCATAAGAGATATTTAAAGGGAAAATGAAAGGTCCTGGTGAAGGATGAAGAGAGCCCAAACTTTGCATCAAGCTTGCAATCCCAGCTCTAGTATTTTAAAGCTACTTTTAGCTTTATTCTCAGGCAAATTCTTTAACTTCTCTAAGCCTCTGTTTCCTCATTTGCAAAGGTAGACAATATTGTCTACCTCCTTGCTTGTTGTATTAAATGAGGTAAGGGGTGAAAATATCCAGCGTGGGACCTGGCATTCTATTTAGATCCATTTTCTTTTCCTCCCTCTGGGCTTTGAGAACATGGTTGCCAGAGGAATGGTGGACCCATTCAGAGACGTAGGGAAGTAGCAAACCAGCTTATTTCATGGGTAAAGAAGACTTTGACTTGGGGCATGTTGACTTTGGGGTGCTGTTAAATCCATCTGGCAACTTAATGAGGGATAGGTACCAGTTTCTAACCCACCTTCATAACTTATACCCATTGTTATGGGAGGATTAGAAGGAGATGATGGCTTAGAAGGTGTGATGGTTAATACTGAGTGGCAACTTGATTGAATTGAAGGATACAAAGTATTGATCCTCGGTGTGTCTGTCAGGGTGTTGCCAAAGGACATTAACATTTGAGTCAGTGAGGGGGAAGTTGCCAGCATGCTGTGTAGGCTCTCTCGCAAGTAAACTCAGGTGGATACAGGACAGGACATCCACAATCCACCACTATGGCCTTCTCACACTGTCTTTTTCACCTCTTTTCTTCTTATTTCTGTTAGCTGCCTGAAGGCAAGCCCCAAGGAAAGCATATGGCACCGTGCCTTATACCTAACAGGTGTTCTGTCAACAAAAATGATGATTGTCCATTTGCCTATGAAGACAGAGAAAAGGGAAAAAGATTAGATTCAATAACTGGAGTTCCTTGTTTAAAGCCCAAAACTGGGCTGGCTGAGCTGGCTGCCGTGAAACTCAGCTATTTGGCCAAAGCAGCACACTTCAATCTAGATTATTTTCATGACACAGGTATTACCTAGAAGTTCAGGGAGATAAAGAGACAGCTTGTTCTTAGGAAAAAATCAAAAAACAAAAAAATCCCCTGAGTTTGAGAAAAAGTGGGAGAGGATTTAATGAAGGCACTTACATGTTGGACTGCAGCCTCCCATGAATGGAGCGGCATGAATTGCCCTGGGAGGCCTTTGGCAGGCCTTCCTTAAGACAGGGCACTGGCCCATCCAGTCACACAATATTTATGCTCTTTAGACTTTAAAAGTATTTTTTGTAGTCAAAAGTGCTTCCACCCTCGACTTGCTGTGGATAATGATTGCTAACTAAATAAAATAAAGCTAAAAGCTTATTCTGCAGGTATGAACCCCTGCAGAAAACTATACTAGAACCTGACTGCTATGGACTGAATTGTGTTCCCCCAGAATTCATATATTGAAGTCCTAACCCCCAATATGACTGTATTTGTAGCAAGGGCCTATACAGAGCTAATTAAGGTTAAGTGAGGTCATAAGGTGGGGCCCTTATACAACACAATTAATGTCCTTATAAAAAGAGGAAGGGAGACCTCTCTCCATCAAGGGAGGACACAGAAAGAATACAGATTCCTGAAAGCCAGGAAGAGAGCTCTCAGCAGAAACTGAACTGGCCAGCACCTTGACCTTGAACTTCCCAGGCTCCAGAACTGTGAGAGAATAAATTTCGGTTGTTTAAGCCACTCAGTTGATGGTATTTGGTTATGGCAGCCCCAGCTAATACGCTCATTCTAGCCCCATCCCAGCGGCCCATGCTGAAGTCCCAGAAGCAATGTTAGCAAAATGAATCTTATACTAGAGCAGAGCTTTCTCATCTAAAAGTTTTATGACGTTTTTCATCACAGCTAAGAGGGAGAATTTGGTCAAGAATTGTTATGTCCATCCCAGAATCAGTGAGCCAAGGTCCCCTAGCATGTAGCCCAATGCCTGGCTCATAGTATAAGCTCAAGAAGTGTTTGGTGGCTGTAACTTTGCAACATTCCAAGTCTAGATTGGAGGTACCTTACCTCCTTTTCCTGGGCTCTTCGGCACTGCCTTTTCTCTAATGTCACTTAATAGGTGCTAAGAAAGTGCCTCTCAAAGCTACCTACAATTATAATCTGGGTTCAAATTCCTAACTGAGTGATCTTGGGCGAGTTAAAAGTCTTGGTTTGGGCTCCTCCAGAAAAGTTCAGATCCAAGTAGGTTATTTGGGAGTAACAGGAAACACTAGTGTGGTGGTAGGAAGAAGACAGGGAAAGAAAGGCAGATGATGGAGTTGCATTGTCAAGAAAGCTGCCACTGTGGACCACTGAAGCTTATCCCATGGGGGACTGTGGAAGCCAGCATAGAGCACATGCCTCAGAATCAAATCCCATCCTGCCACCAGAGGGCAAGGGAGCCGGGGCATTTATACACCAACTCCTGCCAATTATTTGGTGATAGCTGCTCCTAGAGGAAATCTATTCCCCAATACATCCGGCTTGCTGCATGCAAGAACACACCAGGCTCCAGAGGCCAGTGGAAGCTCTCGGGCCAGATCCTGCATTTGGAAGATGAACTGGTAGGTGCTGAAATGATGAGGGCCAAAAAGATGTGGGTGGGGCACACACAGCATCTGCCATCTATAAAAGGAAGTCTAGTACCCTATTCCATTAAATGAGTTTGTAGTCGTAACACACTTGGAACAGTCTATGGTATATAAATGCTATAAGCATGTGTGGCTGATAGTATTTTTCATATGGGGACACAGTAATTTTCTGGTCCCATGTGCTCTGCTAGAACCTTGCCACTCTCTATTCTGGGAGGAGTCTGTTTCCTCTCCCCTTGGACCCAGAAGGACTTTGTGACTTCCCTGATGCACAGTTTGTTGCAGAAGTTAAGCTGCTGGTTTCTACCAGTAGGTCATGTAAGCTGATAAGGACCCACCTGCTTTTGTCTCTTTCTCTCTCTCTCTCTCTCTCTCTCTCTCTCTCTCTCTCTGTGTGTGTGTGTGTGTATGTGTGTGTGTGTAGAGAGATAGAGATAGATAAAACACACACACACACACACACACACCCTCTTGGGAGTCCTATTCCTGAAGCCACCATGCTTCAGAGATCACATGAAGAGACAATGTAGGAATAGAGAAGTCCAAGAAGCCTCAGCTGTTGAAGTCCCCAGTGAAGTGTCACCTTGGGTATAAATGTGTATACATTTAGTGATGATACCTTCGATATGACCCTAGCCACAGCCACCTAATAATGACTGCAACCACCAGAGAGAACCTGAGCTACATCTGCCCGATTACTCTCAACCTGAATTCCTGATCCACAGAAACCTGGAGAGATAATAAATAATGATTGTTATTCTAAGATGCTACATTTTGAGGTAACTTCTGATGTAGCCATAGTAACTGGAACAGTGCCTGATAAGTAAAATAAATATAATCTTACCTCCTCAACTTATAGGCCCTTCTCAGATATGAAATGAAATCTTCATATTCTAGATTCCACATTTAAGCAGGTGAGTCTAGCTCAAGCTAATGTTCTAACAATCAGATCTTGACAAGATTAGACTTTGCAATATGCAGAGGGTTTAATTCTGGACTGGACATTGTGGTGCTTCCTCAGTGTTCATTTTGATCATCTTCCATTCAAGGTTGCCCTGGATATCTGGTCACTCATCCCTGCCTCCAGCAGGAGGCCCTGAATGGTCCAAGCCATTAGGAAAATTCAAGCATCTTGCCACAGTGATTGGACCACACAAGTGAAGCATAGCCAGTCAGTGGTTGACTTTCCCCTAGGACTGGTTAAGAACAGAATCATCAGCACCACATCTGGGACTGTTGCTGAAAAATCTAGGGCATAAAGGCATTCTTTCTCTAGGAAATGTTGGAGTCAGACATGCATGCCGGAACCACTGCAATGATTTTGCTATCATGAGGAAAACCAGCCTGAGGATGGAATCAACACACAAAAGAGGCAAGACAAAGAGAATTACAGAGAAATGAATCTAGAGCCTTGACAAAATCATGCTTAAATCCCAGAGTACATCTACATTTTCAGATATGGGAGCCAAGATGTTGCTTTCATTGTTTAAACCGTCTTAATATGGATATACTATTACTTGGAACCAAATGCATCATAATTAATTCTGGTACCAATGCATCAGATATTGTCACAAAACCTAATCCACTCCTGTTCTGCAGAGTTAGAAAAGAGGATCAATGTGTAATCTAAATAAACCTTTTCCAGCACTTTCTTTGGACATTTTTGTATGAAACCTTGAGTTTTGCCAAGAAAATAACTACCATTTTCCTGGCTATATCTTTGATATAAATGTGCATACATTTAGTGGGTGTATTAATTTCCTAGGGGCTACTGTAAACAAAGTACCACAAATTGGGTGGCTTAGAACAACAGAAGTTTATTATCTCACTGTTTTGGAGACCGGAAGTCCGAGATCAAGGTGTCCACAGGACCAGGCTCCCTCTGAAAGCTCCAGGGAAGGATCTATTCCAGGGCTCCCTGAGCTCCCAGTAGCCTCAGGCATTCCTTGGTTGGTCGATGGGTGTGTTCTCCATGTCTCTATGCATGTCTTCCCTCTATGTGTCCGTCTCTGTGTCCAAATTTCCTCTTTTCACAGTACATGAGTCATATTGGCTTAGGGCCTATTGTAACACCCCTAGTTTAACTTGATTACTTTTTTAACATCCCTATTACCAAACATGGCCACATTCTGAGGTACTGGGGGTTAGAATTTTAGTAATATCTTTTGCCGGAGGAGAGGAGGATGCAATTCAGCCCACGACAGTACGGTAGAGGAAGTGGACAAGGAGGGTGTACATGAGGAGGAGAAGACATCAAATACAGGAACGTTAAAAAAAAAACTTACCAATCACACAATTTTGGAGTTGTCCAAGTGTAAGAAGGCCGATATTCCTGCTTTGACTTGTAGAGACTGGGGTTCCTGACTGAAGACACTTTCTCTGCAGAGAGATGGGGATAGAGATGAACACAGAGCCTGTGTTGCCTCTTTTTTCTAGCCTAGATGTTTTCCTTACAACAATTTCTGTTTTGTTGCGTGGTTTCTTTCTTTCTTTCTTTCTTTTTTGAGGGAATACACACAAAGCTTTGACTTATATTATTCTCATTGCATCTAACTGAATGAAATTTATGAAGCCTCTTGCACACTGTATTCATTGTTTGGGTTGGGATAATTGAAGTGTCAGGAATATTTGCTTATTGAAAACAACTCAGGACGGCCCTGTGCACCCAACTGGACCAGGGCCACAAGACATGCCACATTCTGGACAGCTGTGTCCTATTGTCTTTTACAGCAGGGGCACCTTCCCAGGTAGATTAATTTCACACCTGGGAATGAGCAGTGGGTTAAGAATTAGAGGGCATTATTTCTAGTGTGGACTTCACAATTCACTCACTGTGTGACTTCGAATAAATCATTTAATGTCTCTGGACTTCAGAGTTTAATGGACATAAATAACATGGTGTTTTCTACCTCATAGGGATACTATGTAGCTCAAAAAGGAGAATCTATATTAAATACTTTAGAAATCATAAAATGCCATCCAAATGTGTATCATTTACAATAAAAAGTAATCATGTCTACTTCTGCTTAAAGTAGAACTTTGAACTAGGGAAGAAAATGGGCCAATGTTCTCATTATTCACCATTTTCTCCCCAAGATCCATCCTCCACACTTTTCTGACCTGCTCTGTACCTTGGGAGACTGAGCACTGCAGATTGCACTGGCTAGACTTCATTGTCTTGTGGCTTCTGGGTGGTTTGGCTAATGAGAAGTGCTTATAGGAAATAGGGAGGTGGGAGGAGAGAAACATTGGGGTATTTATTCGTTTTACTCTTCTGGGCAGTAGCTGTGTTCTCCTATAGCCACCACTCCGATTGGGCAACTGGTTCTACCCCTTTGGCCCTCTTTAGGCTTCAAGTAACTCCATTCCCTCTGCTCCCCTTCGGGATGAGGAGGATGACAGTGTATGAATGTGGCTGGTCCTCAGTGCCTGACTCTGCAAATGGCCTCTGCATCATCACTCTTCAACACTTTGAATGCGCCATCTGATTCTCAAGGGACCCTGACACAGGCAGCATCATGACCACGATGTGGGCGATAGCTCAACTCTTTCTGAGGGAATCCTCTCTCTTTTTGGGAATAGTCTGAGTTCTTTCTTTTCTTTAGCCATTGAGCAGGTCTGCAATGTGATGTTTCTCTTGTAGAAACAAGCACCAGTGGATCAGGAAGAGCTATAAGGATTGGAGGTCTTCACTGTCTTCCATCAGCAATTCGAAGGTTTCAATAGGTTTCCCAGGAAGCCAGGCCTCTGTTCTTTCTCTGGTACCTCCTGCCCCTCCCTATATTCAGGCATTTTCCGAGTTCAGTCTGCCCTTCTCTGGAGGTTACCCTCGATCTTTCGTCTGCCCTCATCTCTTGCCTGTGCCTTCAGGGCTCCTCAGTGACTCTCCATGCAGAACACAGCCTCCTTTCTCTTTCCCACACCCCAGCCCCGGCTTTCCTATTTCTGTTCATGCTGCCCAGGCTTGGAATTCCAGCTCATCTCACACACCTTTAGTCACTCCTTATGTGCAAGCAGGCACCAAGAGCATTGCTTTCTCCCTTCCCACGAGTCCCTGCAGCCCTCCCTGCACTCTCAGTGTCTCATTACTGGACCTCTCTTTAGTTCTGAGTTTCTGTGACAGGATGTCCAGTCAGCCTTCCTGCCTACAGTCTCTCCTCAATCCTCTACAGACAATAGACTTCTGCCACCTTCGTTTTCCTAAAACTTGGCTTCCATTGTGCCCCTTCTATGAAAACCTTCAATGACCCTGCTGTCCACCATACAAAGTCTGAACTCCTGACCCTGACATTCAAAGCCCTGCACAGTCTACTTCTTGGTCTACTTACTACCTTACAAGCCCACTCTCCTCTCCCTGCTACCCCGTGACTACATCAGGGGCTTTCCAGCCTCCACTGCCCCAGAAATGCTGCCCTCCTGCCTCCTGGCGTGAACCTTGCCTATTCTTCCAAGCTGAACCCCAATGCCACTTGCTCTCTGAAATCTTCCTTGACCACTACAAGCGACAGGGAGGCTTCTTTTCTTTCAACCCCTCTTCCTTTTCTTTCAAGTTCCGGGACGTATTTGCTGAGCTGAGCTGAACTTCGTCTCCTAAGAATGTTGTTTGCCTGAGCCATTTGAGACTTGTAGCTCCCTGACTTGTACTGCTGTGCCGTTAGAATGCGGTTTGGACACACGTGTCCTGCATAGTATTAGGCCCTTACTATTTACTGAATGAATATATAAATATGGGAAACACATCAACTTATCCGAACTGCTGATCGTTAAGAGATTAGACACATATATGTATTTTTGCAAGCTCATAGGTCCCTGACACTAAAGTCATACATCTACTCAGGTAGGCTTTTGGTCTAAAAAGGAACAGGGATGATGATGACAAACAATAAAATATCTACCACTTCCTGAATACCTGCTGTGTGCCAGTGCTTCACATGCAAAATCTCTTTTAACCTTTTAAACCAACTTATATTAGTATTATTACTAACTGTACTTTATGAACCAGGAAATGGAAGCTCAGAGTGACTAAGCAAATATATCTAGTAGGGGGCAAGGCTGAATTTGAACCTGAGTCTGAGAATGCTCAAGTCTGTTCTATCAACCAATCAGTAGGCAGCCTTTAGAAGTATCCTGCAGGAGGCCCCAGGAGTGTGGAGTATTTAGTGTGTAATGCATATGTGGCACTTGTCTACCTCAGCTTCCTTCCATTGAGGGCAGGAATCCTATCCTGCTGCTCTCTGTATCTTCACAGTGATGCCTATGACTTGGCTTTGCATATAATCGGCACTCACTAATGATTTATTAGTTGATTTTCAGCTCTCCTCCACTTCATACTTGAATTTCAAGTGTTTTGTTTTGTTTTGTTTTGTTTTGTTTTTGAGACAGGGTCTTGCTCTGTCACCCAGGCTGGAGTGCAGTGGTGCGATCATGGCTCATTAGAGCCTCGAACTCCCAGATTCAAGTGATCTTCTCACCTGAGCCTTCTGAGTAGCTGGGACTACAAGCATGTGCCACCATGGCTGGCTCAAGTGGTTTTTTTGTTTGTTTGTTTGTTTGTTTGTTTGTTTGTTTCTCAAAGGATCTGGCCAGGATTGCACTATAGGTTTGCATAGGAATTCTCTTTCCACCTACCAGTACCATAAAATCTTTAGTTAATATAATTATTTGTCTCTAGAGGTCTCCCCTTGAAGGGGCTTGGTACTGTGTCAACTTAGCTAAGTTGGAAATATTTCCCAGAACTCTCTTCCCTGTATCATTGTAGATTAGGATTGACCACAAGAGAAATGTTCATGAGACTGGGAAGGCAGAAGGGAAGGAAGCAGTAGCCACTGTTTGTGGATTGGTGTAGGTGTCAGGCAGACCCCATAGCTCATGCTGACCTAATAGCTCATCCTCTTGGCATGGAGCAGTGCCTGAGCCTGCAATTCCTTCAGCTCCTACCCAATCTCCTCCTTCAGATTCTTGAGTTGCAAACTTACTGTGTATGCAGTCTCATGGAGAAAGTGTTGGCTTCTGCAGGTTCCCCACATTGTCAAAATTGGAGGCAATAAGAGGCATAGGTGGGGTCCATTCTGTCCTCATTGTTCTGAAGCAGGAGAATAGGTCCTGGAGGCAGGAAATGGAAGGTCAATTCATGCTGACTTCCTAGAACTAAATCAAATGGAAAACCCCAACTTTCCATGCCCAAGTAACAAACGGACCAGATGCTACTCCCTTTGCACTGCCCCCCGCTGTCCTTCTGCAGGGCAGATGAAAAATTGAAAGTAGCTCTGATAGTCCCCTCCTGCAATCAGTCAGACTGGTCATGGGCCAAGTCTTCATTTGCACAGGGTGTAACTTTGTAACTTCACTTCGCCTCTGATTGGTCGCTTTCTACAACAAATCAGACTGGTTGCAGGCCGCTACTTCATTTACATAGGGTGTGCACCTAGTAACCAATGAGAAAACTCTAGAGAATATTTAAAGGTCAGAAAAGTATGTAACCAGGTTCTTGAGCTGCTTGTTCAGGCCAGCTCCTACCTTGTGGAGTGTGCTTTTATTTTAATAAATTGCTTTTGTTGCTTCTTTCCTTACTTTGTGCATTTTGTCCATTTTTTTCGTTTGAGATGCCAAGAACCTGGATACCTTCCAATGGTGATGGTTCTAGTTTTTCTCACGCTTCCAGTTAATGTTGCTCTCCTCACATTAGATCCAGCCTTCTTTCCTGATTACCAGAGTTGCCCAGCTACAGCAGCTTTAGGCCCCCACCAGGTACAGAAGCAGCTTGCCATAACCCCCTTCACCAGCTCCCACAATCGTGCTCATCTTAATAACAAATCCCCTGTTCTGTATCACTCAGAGTGACCCTGCTTCTCCGATTGAACCCTAGCGGATTCATCCCTCTTCCCTGAGTCCCCAGGATATGGTGTCTCTGGTCACGTGGCCACCTCAAAGAAATGTGTTTATGGTAATTGGGCAAAGTCACTGTTAAAGCAGGAGGAAAGCCTAGAATCGGGGAGCTTCTCACGCTTACCCTTTCCCTCCCCACAAGGCTATGCTGTTTTCCAAGGCAGGAGCTAGATCCATCTGTCTTATAGCGAAACCCAACTTAAGACACTTCAGTATTATTCAAGTCTCTACCTGCCTCAGCAAACCTGGGCTGAACTCAGCTCTGATGTCACTGCTTTTGGAGGTTGTGTAGCCACTTTTTTTTTTTTTTTTTTTTTGAGACGGCGTCTCGCTTTATCACCCAGGGTGAAGTGTGGTGGCGCGATCTCGGCTCACTGCAAGCTCCGCCTCCTGGGTTCACACCATTCCCCGGCCTCAGCCTCTCAAGTAGCTGGGACTACAGGCGCCCGCCACCACGCCTGGCTAATTTTTTTTTTGTATGTTTAGTAGAGACGGGTTTCAGCGTGTTAGCCAGGATGGTCTCGATCTCCTGACCTCGCTATCTGCCCTCCTCAGCTTCCCAAAGTGCTGGGATTTGTGTAGCCACCTTTGACCTTTAGTGGTTGCTCTCAGATATCACTGGCATCCAGGGCACCTGTGCATGGAGGTGGACTTGTAGTTAATCACAAGTGGACTAGAGTACGAGGTTGCCTAAGGGGCTGTGTCCCAGAGGCTCTGAAGACTGCTGTTCAAAGGTATCTGCCTTTGACCAGGTGTTTGAAAATCTAAATGTCACCGTTAATAAGCCATCCCTGTGGATTACTCTTCCTGGTGTCTGTTATTAAAAAGCCATACACCTTTGATAAAAGAATCATTTGCAGAGTGTAGTAGAAAGAATGTGGTTTCTGGAATCAGGTGGCTCTGAAATCAATCTACTTCTGCCATTTAAAATAGCTATGAGGCTGCAATAAAATAATTATTTAACCTCTTCATGCTGCAATTTCCTCACCTATTAAAATGAGGATAATAATATCCAATTTGATATCCAAGAAAACAAATGTGAAAGTATCTAACCCAATGCTTGGCACACAGGTGACCCTGAATGAATGTTAGCATTTACTCCTGATTTCCGTTCCTTGAACTAAATAATGCCTTGGAATTCCTAGCAAGGCCCTGAATGGGCATCGTTGCTGTTGCTTTCTCATCACAGTTGGGATCTAGTAGGTGAGAGGGTGAGGGTCTACTGTGAGTGTGTGTGTGTGTTTCAGGAGGATGGGGGGAGAGAGAGCGCGCGCACGGATTAGAGTTAATAGCTAGTTTTAGAAGAGAGATTAGGTTATCAGAAGAGGATTTCAAAAAGCTAGCTTATTTCCATCCACCTTTCTCCATTTTTGTTGCTGCCATCTTAATTCAAGTTGCCTTCTCCTTCCTGGATTACTTCAATAGTCTTATCTGGTTCTTCTGACTCTTCTGATCTCTTTTTAGTTTATTCTCTTCTTGGAAGCCAGTGATCTCTTTTAAATGTAAATCAGATCTTACTTAACCCTCTGACCCTTTCCATTATACTTGGCATTCATCTAAACCCTAATCATGGCCTGGAAAGTGCTCTATAGCTTGGCCCCTGTCTACCTTCCTCCCTCAGCCTTCTCTCCCTCCTTCCCTCCCACTCAGTAACTTTTATTTACACTAGAATTCTCCCAGCTCCTTGGGCCAGTCAGCTCAAGACCTTTACTCATGATTCTCTCTCTCTCTCTCTCTCTCTCTCTCTCTTTTTCTGTCTCTCTCTCTCACACACACACACGCACACACACACTTCCACTTCCATGTGTTCCTGTTACACTTAATTCTGCTGGCTGACTCCTACCCAACCTTCACATCTTTATTCAAATGTGATTTTCCAGACTTCCCAAACAAAAGTAGGCTTCGTTCTTGTTCTTTCTTATAAAACATCTCGTGTGTGTCTTGTATATTTTTTTCTTATAGTCTCTATCACATTTCAAAGTGATAGAATTGTGTGTGTTGTTTTCTTTCTGAAATGTTGCTTCTCCTACTGAGTGAGTCCACGACAGTCCCATTTTCCCATTGTGTTGCCACCAGCCAGCCCACTGCCTGGCACAGTAGTCTGAATAGTGCTGGTTAATGTTGAACAAACACAGTGTCACCCTGGGACAAGTCTATCTGTATGGGATTCAGATTTTCTCTCCTTACAAATGAGCCACAATTCTTGAATTTGAGTCTTATAAAAGCCACCCAGAAAACCATACATCCTGTTTACCTCTATATTTAATTTTTTGTTTCCTACTTTTTCATTTTTAAATTGAGGCATAATTTGTACAGAATAAAATGTACAAATATTAAGTGTGCAGATGGTGAGTTTTTCATACATACACACCCATGGAATCATTATTCCAATCAAGATATAGAATAGTCCAGCATCCAGTAGGCTGCTTCGTGTCTTTGCAATTCCATAACCTCTACCTGCACACTAGATAAGGTAACACTACTCTGATCTCCTTCTCTGTGGATTAGTTTTGTCTGCTTCAAAATCTTATGTCAATGGAATCATATAGTGCACATATTTTGGTGTCTGGCTTCTTTGGCTCAACATGTTTTGGGATTAATTCAAGTTGCTGTATGTAGCAACTGGTTTTTTTAAAAAAAATTATTGAATTGCTGGCTAGTCTTTCATTGAGTGTTTAATTTCCCCATTTGACCATTGCTGGACATTGAGTTGATTCAAGTTTGGGCAATTATGGACATTCTTGCATATGTCTTTTGGTGGACGTGTCTTTGGGTTTAGAAGTAGGAGTGGAATTGGTGGGTCTCTACATCTTTAAGCCAGGCTCTTTTGTCTTCTGCGTCAGCCTTCACAAAAATCCTGGCACAGCTTAGCCACAATTTTCCAATGTGATAAGGCAGAGGTGGTTATCTACATCGTGGCAGGCTTTTTACCTGCAGGAATCCTTCATATGGATAAGTTCATTTCATGGGTTTCTGTCAAGGTCATTTAACTGTTTGATGCTGAGTCTGTGGTCATGATAGTGTCCCAGAAAATGTCACAGGATCTTTAGGGTGTCACTTTGCCAACTGGAAACCTGTGTGGTCAGTGGAACCTTTGCCCAAGTTCTCCTCGGGACCGCTGGGCTCATTCAAACCACTTGGCCCAGCAGGCTGCACTCAGCTCTAGCTACTGGCCAGATTCCACGCCTACCAAGGGGGAGCCATGTGCAGAGTGGTGAGGGATGTGTGACTTTGAACAGGTTCTGGCCACTGCACACAGCCCGGCATGCCGGCTGCAGTGGGGAGGCCAACTCCAGGCGCTGGTTCTGTGCGAGGCTGATGGTGGACCAGGCGTATTGCAAGCGGTTTCCATTGTGGGCACCAAGAAACGCGGTGGTGCTCAGAAGCTTGGAGACACCAGTAACCACAGAGCCCTAAAAAAGGTGTCACAACACTGGCCTGAGGAGCCCCTAGGTCTGAACTCCTTGAAGGGCCACAGCTCTTCTCTCATCATGGAGAGTGGGGGTTGTGTTTTAACCATTCGTATTATAGCTCTTTCAGTCCCACCATTTGATAGGTCCCAAGTTTTTGTCTTGTGTCCAGGAAGAATGGAGTGCCTGGACAACCGGAAGGTGAGAAAGGTGGAGAGGAGCTTCACTGAGTGACAGAACAGCTCTCAGGAGACGCAGAGTGGGTAACTCCTTTCCACAGACAGGTCATCCTGGCAAGTGTCCAGCTCTCAGTGGAGAGGAGACCCATGGTGGGTAGCTCCTACGTGCAGGCAGGTCACCCTCAAGAGTCAAGGAGACCGGAAGTGGGTAGCTCCTTCCCACAGCTGTTAGTCCTGACTTCTGTCTGAGTCTGGCTGAGTCCGGGGTTTTAATGGGCTCAGAAGGGGGGAAGTGTGTGCTGACTGGTTCATGCGCAGCCATGGGCAAGCCTGGAAAAAGCACCGTAAGTTCTCACTCTGGGCCTCGGACTACACCCGGAACTGGCAGCCTGGTCCCCAGGCTTCAGGCTGTCCCTGGCTTGAAGGTGGAGTTTCACTAGAGACCTGCCCCTTTCTGGCCAGGAACCTGCCTGCCTCTCACCATCAACATGCTATCCATGGTGCCTTGGTTGTTTGTGCCAAGGGGCCCAGGCCTGCGCTGAGCCACCTTCAGCACCCCCAGCCTCCCTCTGGCACTGTTGGTACCCAAATTCCGGAGGGGGCCAAGGTAGGGGATGGCGTGCAGGTCTGGCATGTCAGTGCTGCCCTGAGCACCCCCACCCTTCCAGGTTGTGACAGTGCATGAGCTTGGACACAACTTTGCTCCAAAATCAGAGCTGGTGCCAGGAGTAGGGAGAGACCAGGGAGCAGCAGCAGACATTTCCTAGCCTGCAGGGCCAAGGGGGGCTTCCTGGCCCCAAGAGAAGAGAGATGCCTGGGTCCAGAGCTGCGGCTGGTCGCTGCAGGGGCGCCCGAGAGCACAGGGCTCCCTCCCCACCAACTCGGTGGGAGGCAGGACTCCCACCTGTTCCTGGCCTGGGTAACTCCACAGAGCGTGCAGCCCTGGCTGTGCCTCCCCTGCTGCAGCTGGCATCCCCCCAGTGGCCGCTCCAGATGAGCTGCTGCCGCCATCAATAGGCCAGAACAATTTAAAATCATAATCTGAAGGGCTTCCTGCCATTGGAGCTTCATCAGACACCGTGTTAAATTATCTCTAAAGTAGTAATCCGAGCCAGTAAGAAAACATTATTCTATTCATTTAAATCACTGAATTACAGACACATTTCATGGGAATGTTTTTCTAATTACAATGATCCTAAGATAATTGCTTTGGCCATTTCTATGAAATGCTGTAGCTATTCCTGATGTATTATTTATTCATTGGTTTATTGCCAGGAGTAATATTGACTGTTTGCTGTATCCCTGTCATGGGAGGCTTTCTGCCATAACTGTGTAGTAATTTTTTGCCCTGTCTACAGGAACACACAGGGTTAATAAGCTGTGGCCGTTAGACAACATTCACCAAATTCTGGGTGCCCTTTCTCCAAAAGGTAAGTTACACTAAACGAAGAAAGGTATAATCTCTGCAAATTCCCTTGCTAAAAATCTCCTTCTCTAGAAAGGATATTTGCTTGTTGTTTTCATGTTTCTCCTTCCAAAGAATTTACAAACATTTCCCTTAATTTCCTGCATGAGACCAGAAAATTTCAGCTTTTGTCCCAGGCAAGGGAATAAACACAGTTAGAACATCTTTCCCATTTGAGACAGTGGGCCACTTCTCCCCTAGACCACAGAGGGCCCACCTCTCTGTCTGCTCTTAAGAATTCAAGAGGCTTATCAGCCTGGGAGGTTGGGACCACCCAGATGGAGATGAAGTGAACTTTCAGCAGAGAGAGGGAAGCACCTGGAAAATACCTGGATTCTGCTTTGAGTGGAAATGCAGAGACAACCACATGTTTTGGACACCCACCTCTCAGTGTGCTGGAGTCCTAAGACATCCTTCTCATTGTAATGAAAAGTACCCCACCAAAAGGGAAATACCACCCAAATTTGGCTAAATCCTGAAACAGAATTAAATGACCACATTGAATTCTCATGATAAGTCTTTGAGGACGATGTCATCATTATCCCCAATTAAAAATTTTATTTTTTTACTTTTATTTTATTTTATTTTTGAGATGGGATCCTGCTCCGTCACCCAGTCTGGAGTGCAGTGGTACAATCTCAGCTCACTGCAACCTCGGCCTACTGTGTTCAAGTGATTCTCCTACCTCAGCCTTCCAAGTAGCTGAGACTACAGGCATGTGCCACCACACCCAGCTAATTTTTGTATTTTTAGTAGAGAAGGGGTTTCACCATGTTGGCCAGGCTGATCTTGAACTCCTGACCTCAAGTGATCTGCCCACTTCGGCCTCCCAAAGTGCTGGGATTACAGGCATGAGCCAACGCACCTGGCCTCAATTCAAAATTTTAAACTGAGGCTCAGAGAGGCTGAGTATCCTGACTAAGGTCACACAGCTTCTAGGTGATAGAATGGTGATTTGAACCCAGGGAGCCCAACTCTACCCTGAGGGACTGAGAAAGAGTGAGCTCCAATTCAGAGTGTTATCTTCCCATCCTCCACTCCACCTTTTTAAGCCTCATCTGAAAATATCATGCAAGATCACCTTTACCACACAGAGGAGAGGAAGAAACAAATAAATATGGGGGAGGAGGAAATGGAAAATAGAACTCCCACTGGGGTCTGGCTATTAATGTGTCTGCCCCGTTCCGACACTTGAATAGGTCTGGTTCTGAGTCTGCTACTGAAAAGAACCAAAAATGACCTGGAATTGAAACTCCTGCATAGGGAGGTGCCGTGATGAACTCGGAGAGACCACAGCACAGCTTTGCAAGTGCATTCAGCACAACGTCATGGTTGCTTCCAGTCGGCCAGGGGAATGCTGATGAGGTGGTTTCCAGATCTGATGAATTACCTGACTGCCAACGCCAAACTCAGGTTTTCCTCTCTGCAGGATGGAGAGGCTGGAAGGCGAGATGGTCTTTCCAAGAGGGAACCTGTTTCATCAGTGGCTTCTTTAGATGTGTTGACTTTGTGGAAGAACCCCAGTTAACAGGAACATAGGGAAGGGTTTTCTTCAGTAGGTACCAATGTCAGCCAATCTTTTACCTCTGTGATCTCATCTCCATTGTTTTCTCTGCTTTCTCTGCCTCAGCCACACTGGCTTTTTACTGTCCCTGGAACATGCCAGGCACACTCCTGCCTCAGGGCCTTTACATGTGCTCTTTCTGCTGCCTGGAACCTTTCCCCCAGATACTCCCATGGCTCGCTTCCTCTCCTCTCATGCCTTTCCTCAAATGTCCTCTTCTGAGTGAGACCTTCCCTAGTGACCTGTTCTAGCAAAAATCACATTGTGAACTCCATCTCCCTCTACACGCACACATACGCATTCCCACTCCCCTTCTGGCTTAGTTTTCTTGTTAGCACACTCCACCTTATAATCTCCTATGCATAATACTGACTTAACCTTGTTTTTGACTGTCTCCCTTAGCTGAAGGTAAGCTCCATGGAGGCAAGGATTTTAATCCGTTTGGTTCCTGTCTGTACGGCAGCACCTAGAATAATAAGTAACTAGCGCTCAATAACAACATGTTGATCCGTGCATGGTGACTCACGCCTGTAATCCTGGCACTTTGGGAGGCCAAGGTGGGCGGATCACCTGAGGTCAGGCATTTGAGACAGCCTGGCAAATGTGGTGAAACCCCATCTCTACTAAAAATACGAAAATTAGCCAGGCGCACAACTGTAATCCCACCTACTCGGGAGGCTGAGGCAGGAGAATTCCTTGAACCTGGGAGGTGGAGGTTGCAGTGAGCCAAGATCATGCCACTGCACTCCAGTCTGGACAACAAGAGTGAGACTCTGTCTTGAAAAAAAAAATGTTGAATGCACAAATGAATGAATTTATTAATCCTAGCCCTGCCATTTAGTAACCAGGCAGGCTATAGAGAGTTAGTTAACTTCCTTTCTAAGCCTCATTTCTGCAACTGTAAATTTAGAACGAGAATTCCTATTATCCTTGTGAGCTGTGCTTTTTCAATAGGATTACAAAAGGACACACCCAGCACAGTACTCACATGGACTCAGTAAGAATTGGCTAAATGATTTACATTGTGAGTTCAATGAAAGAATTACCAATAATAGTGACAAGCGTTTGTAGAATATTTCTATGAGCCAGGCACTATTCTAAGCATGTATGTTTATTAACCCATTTAATCTTTACAACATCCTGATATGTATGTGCTGTTATCATCACCATCCTAGCTTTAAAAATAAAGAAACTGCAGGGGTAACTTTCTCAAGGCCACATGACTAATAAATCATAGAGCCTGGATCTGAACTCAAGCCCATCTATTTCCAACGTCCATATCTTACCCACTTCAGCATACTTCTTCCCCATAGCAAGAAGATGTAATTTACATGACAGAGGCACAGGAAATTCCATTTAAGTCATGAAACTTCCTATTTACAAATTTTAGTTTTTAAACTTGTAAGATGTCTTCTTGGATCAAATGTGATGATAATTCAATTTCTAAATCAACTGGAACATTTAGATGGAGGCCAAATTGTATTTAACTCCAAGCCATGAAATATCTTTGGCCATGAAATGCTACCATTGTGGAGATATTTGTAAACTATGTTTTATTTAGACACACTCTGTATTAACATATATAAGACACAGTTTTAAATAGACAGCAGTGTCATTTAGTTTCCAAAGCTGAGTGGAAATAAAAACCAGGGTCATGTAGACACACCCTAAACCTAGCACCTGCTTTTGAGGCTGCTTCAAATAATATCATCCTGATTTTTCTTGTGAATTGACTTCAATCACTTGTGATTCCTGTGCATCTAGCATGTCTCATAACCGGCCGTCATTCATAGCCTATTTTGAGTGTGAGCATTCAAATGCTAGGTTTCGTTCATGAGCGGCAACTCTGCTCACGGTGCTGGCTCTACAAGTCACTGCACACTCAACAGGGAGGTGCATACACACAAACTTTCCAAATCGTCTTTAAAAGTTTTCAGTTCCCTTTTTTCTTTTTTTGGTTTCTATTGCCTTCCCAGTAATGGCTAAGACATTGTCAGTTTGTCTTGCTTCTTGTGATTTCTCCAGATGGCCTTATGGCCCAGGAGATCAGTTGGGACCAGGTGTTAATATCCCACTAATTTTAATCTGGCTTTTATTTTTTGTTGCAAGAAACAGAAATCTATTCAAGCCAACTCAAGACAAAGGGATTTCACATATTGTATTACATTACATTATTTTAAAATGACAAATCCAAGAGCAGGAGCCATATCAGACCCTGGCCTCAAGGAATCCAGAACTCAAAGGTGCTTCTAGATTCAAGGAAGCTCCCAGGTGTTCCACAGTAGGAGTTCATGGATGTTTGATTTCTATGGTCAAGCAACAAATGCCATGTCTTTTTCTGCTCGCAGTACTAACTGATGGTTATTTGTTTGTTTCAAGTTGAGGGCCCTAAGAGAGAATCTGATTGGTCCAGTCTATCTTTCAAAGCAGTCTGCACCTCCCTCTTCAGCCTATGGGTTGTCTGCCATTGGCTCAGGTGCCCCGCCAGAACCAATCATCTATGAATGGAGGAAGTGGGGCACTGGGTACTGAGTGTGGCTTCCTGGGCCTGTCCCTTTGGCAGAAAGTGTGGGCAGATGGGTCCCCTCAGAAGAGGCTGTAGGTGGGTTGGCACAGTATTGACCTTTCCACAATACCATTGTGCAAGACACTGATGTCATATAGCCAAGACATATAGTGGTGTACCAAGGTAAGATGATATTATATTAACAAAGATACAAATGCAACTCAGAAAGACATCTGCAAAGCCACATGCATGGATCTTTGCAACTAGCATGCTTAAAACATGAAACAAATACCGTTATTCTTTTGTGATATATTTTATCTAAAAATATTTATTCTTTTGCCCAAGTTTAACTGTCAAAGCTCCATGGCTTTCTCAGGCAGGGCCACCCAGTTTTGGTGAGCGGACTGCATTTGGCACAATTTCAGCCCATGCCATTCACAGAGATTAGAATGGGATGACTAAACTGAAGCCACATTAGCCTTTGCAGTTGCCAGCCAGTTATTGAGGTTTTGTTGTGATTAAGCTAGTGAAAACCTATTGATTTGTTATTACCATTGACTCAGTGTCTATAATGCTGTGGGCTACAGCTTTAAACATAGGCAGAATGAATACCCACATAACTTCAGAGGTCCCGTGTGTCAAATATATTATGCACATGGTATTGGTGATCTCTCCTTTGAAGACTGGCCCACTTCTACCCAGGGTCCCTGTAGAACAATGTCTCTATGATGGGACATTTTGTTTGAGATAGGAAGGTTAAAGAGCATGAGCTGCGATCCAGGACTGGAGGCCTTGCTGCAATGTGTGTAATGGTTGTGGTGGGGGCGGGAGAGAGGAGGTGCTCATATAAAGGCAGAAAGCATGGCAAACTTGGCCTGCATGACAGTTCTGGTGAACGAAACCCCCTAGACAAATACCAAATCTTTGGGTCTGAGGTAATTGTCTTAAGACAATTCACTACTGATGGTGGCATCGGTGATCTGCATTTGTATGAACTGCAGTCTCTATTTTTGAGTTCTCAGCAGAAACCATTCTCTCTTGTCACCTGGGATGCACAGCCTTCTAGGTGTGTTTTTCTTGTGCCCCACATCACTTTCTGTCTATATTTTTAAAATATCTACCTGATTTTTCTTCACCTTGATGAAAATTTCTTTTAAGACAAAATCAATGTCTGATTCATCCTGGCATTCCTGCCATGGCTTGGAACATGCCAGGCATTTAATAAATATTCGTTGGATGATTGATAGTAAGACCCTAAAATGCCTTTTGAGTCACCAAATTGAACATGATCCATATTGCACTCTCTGCTCAGTGACAGTATTTGGCACAGGGGAATGTCTGAGATGGCATCATTGCCCATCAAAGCTAATTTCAGAGTCAAGTATAACTTTGCAAATATCTCTAATGTAGTCACTGTGAAAACACCATCAATATATCTTGTAATATGTGGAAGGGTATACAGGCTCCATTGATTACCAGAACAAAGATGGAATTCCTAGGGACAGATCAGGAAAGTTCTTTGAGTGAAGACAAAGAGAAGGAGGAAGATGTAGAAGAGGAGGAAAAGGAGTAGGAGAGGAGGATAATAGCTGACATTTATTGACAGTGTGTTACGTGCCAGGCCTTGTCATAAGTATTTTGTATGTATTAGCTCATTTAATACTCACAGAAGCCCTATGGGGAAGGTACCATCATCCCATTTTACAGATGAGTCCGGTGCAAAATAGGGCAGGTTGCCTTTCAATCCACATAGTCTGCTTTGCAGGACTCCTGGGGCTCACTTCTCCTGAGGTCTTCCTCTCTCCCTCTCTTTCTGTTCCTTGACCTTCCAAGGAGGCCTTGGGTAGTCAAGGTGATCATTGTAATTTCATCTTAGGGGATCATGCTGACTCTTTACTGGTCTCTTGGAGGTAAGCCTAGATCTTCAATATTTTTCAAAATAGAGTGTCTGTAAAATGGAGAAATCTGTTTCTTGCTGATATTTAGTGCTCTGAGAGCATAACACTGATGCAGTATTTTTTCAAAACAAAGCAAAATCCTCCTTCACAGGTTTGAGAATGGGAAGAGATGAAGGGAGAGGAGGAGTCAGACAGCCCCAACCTGCCACAGCTGTGTGAGTAACCACTACGACAGTCACTGTGTCTGCTTGGGCAGATCCATTCTTCTAGTCTTGCCAGATGAAGGCATTCACTGCCTTGGATCTGCCCTGACTTTCAAAGACACTACTCTAAAAGCTTCAATATTACTTGGCTAAACAATACCCGCTTCCCAGGAAGGTCTCTTTATTTCCCATCTGTTTTGATTGTTGACATTTTGGTTTGGCAGTAGGGAAAGTCTCCTCACCAGAAGCTGGAGCCCATGTCTAAGGCAGAGAAGCTAAGTCAATGGCAGAAAGGTTGGATTTGTTCCTAACAGACTGAAAAAAAATTTACCCTTCCAGGAACTTAGGTATCCTGTGTCCAAACTGCACACGCCGGAGCAAAGATGACATAATTCTTCAGATATTTTTAATATACTTGACCAAAGTGGAGAATTGAGATGGCATCCAGGGTTCTGGTTTGGCAACACAAATACTTGCCATTACTCAGGATTCTCCAGAGGGACAGAATCAGTAGGATATATGTATCTATAAAAGGGATTTTATTAGGAAGAATTGGCTCACATGATTACAAGGTGAAGCCCCATGCAAGCTGGAGAAGAGAGAAGCTGGTAGCGGCTCAGTCCAAGTCCAAAAGCCTGAAAACCAGGGAAGCTGACAGTGCAGCCTTCAGTCTGTGGCTGAAGGCCAGAGACCCTCCTGGCAAACCACTAGTGCAAGTCTCAGAGTTCAAAGGCTAAAAAACCTGGAGTCTGATGTCCAAGGGCAGGAGGAACAGAAGGGAGCATCCAGCACTGGAAAAAGAAGAAAGCTAGAAGGTTTGGCAAGCAAGGTGATCCCACCTTCTTCCACCTGCTTTGT